ACTATGTCACAGAGGAAAAAAATCCTCATGAAAGCTATCTGTTGTTCATGTTGCTCTAAGTTGCTTAAAGTATGGTTCATGTGCCTATAAAATGTAGAATCTTGGGATAGGGAGGGAAGAATGGAATGGAAATGCTATATCATATATGTTCATATCATATATCTTTTTAAAGGATTTATTTTAACTATCGTGTGTGTGTGCGTGCGCGCGCGTACGTGAGTGCCTGTGTTTGAAGAGGTCAGAGACCTCAGATCTTCCTGGAGCTGGAGTTTCAGACAGCTGTGAGCAGCCTTTTGTGGGTGATATGAATTGAACTCTGGTCCTCAGGATGAGTAAGCATAATCATTGGGAAATCTCTACAGCCCAAGTTACTAGATCTTGAATAAGCATCCCGGGGGATTTTTATTTTTGGCAACATTTAAGAACTTCCTCTCTTTGACAGTTGCTATTTGGCTCAGTATTGTGTGTGTTTATTCTATTTTTGTTTTGTTTGATGCTGAAAACTAAACCCAGCACCTCACATATGCTAGGCTCTATCCCTGATACTTTTCAGCCTTAGGAAAACACTTTAGTAGAGTTTGTTGTTTCTGAAACAATGCTAAGCTAAGCTTTCCAAGGCTTTTTTTTTTTTAAATAGAGACAGAAAACCCAATTGTTTTGAGTAATAATAACAAGGATTTGGGGATTTCTCAGCATTATGATCACACTATTACATTTAGTAATCAACAGCATGGGTCTTCATTAAAACACTTTGTTGGAATATTTTACAGTTTTTCACAGAATAGAAAGTACAATAACTTGTTATACAACTAGTGGAAAGCACAGTCCTGGATGATTTGCCCACACACAGGAGTATTGTCTAAAAGCTTCCTTGCAGTGGCTAGGCCCTGTCACCACCACTGTGCTTGTGTGAGTTCACACATGTGTTACAACCTACAGCTTCCCTGGCACTCCTCTGGCTCCTCTCTCCTGCTAATCTTTGCTTCTTGCCACTATTGTAGCTCCTGCCGCTTCTGGAACTGCCACTGCCACTGCCACCTTGGTCTCGTGGTTTAGCAAAGCACCAGCCTCCACCACCATGAGGGCCAGAGCTTCTGCCCCCAAAGTTTCTTCCCTTCCTTGGTCCCACATCGAACCCACTGATGGATGTCATTGTAGCTTCCAGCGCCTCCAATATTGCCTCTACCACTATGAAATTTATTGTATCCACCCACTGCTGCCATCTTCACTATCATCATGGCTGCCACCAAAGCCAGCGAGAAGCTTCCTCCAGAATCAAAATTGTCATTGCCACCAAAACCACCTCCACAACCACCACCACTGTTTTGGGAGCCACTTGGACCTCTTTGGCTGGATGGAGCACTAGTCACTTCTTCCACTGGGCTTTTCCTGAATGACCACCTTAGAGTTACTATGCTTGCAATAAACCACCACGACCAAAAGCAACTTGGAGACAAATGGGTTTATTTCCTTATCACTGTTCATTATTGAAGGAAGTCAGGACAGGAACTCAAACAGGACAGGAACCTGGAGGTAGGAGCTAATATACATACCATGGAGGAGTGTTACTTCCTGGTTTGCTCATCCTGGCTTGTTCAGTCTACTTTCTTATGGAACCCAGGACCACCCCTAGGGCAGGGGAGGCCCCACCCACCCACAATGAGCTAGGCCCTCCCAAAAAGGCTTTTTTTTTTTTTTGTTTGTGTGTGTGTTTTTTTGTTTGTTTTTGTTTTTTTGAGACAAGGTTTTTCTGTAGCTTTAGCTTTGGAGCCTGTCCTGGAAGTAGCTCTGTAGACCAGGCTGGACTTGAACCCACAGAGATCCACCTGCCTCTGCCCTCTGCCTCCCAAGTGCTGGGATTAAAGACATATGCCACCAACTCCCCACAGGGAAGGCTTTTATGGAGACTTTCTCAATTGAGGTTCCCACCTCTCGGATATCTCTAGTTTGTGTCAAGCTGACATAAAATTAGCCAGCACAGGCTTCTGCCAGTCATGATTTCAATAACTTCAATTTCCCCATTTATTTCTCAAAATAATCTCACATTTGATATTCTTCAATGCCTTCTTTAGTGCCACTAATGATATTTTGAGACTCTTCTCCTGGCACAGTTCTCTTTGGCTCCTCAACGCTTCCATCTACCTTGTATGGTCTTACATTCCTAACTGCATGGACTTTCTCCACTGTGGCGAACCTGACACACTCAAAGCCCCTGCCTGGAGTGTTTGAAACTCTCATAACCACACAGTCGATGAGTGTTCTCCATTTCTCAAAATGACTCCTCAGATTCTAATGGGTTTCTAAGGCCAGTTCTCCCATGGAAAGCTTCCCCAACTTCCAAAATGCTAGCAGGCTCCTTAGGAGACTTTGACTTGGACCTGGTGGCAGCAAAATGAGAATCTGCACTGGGGCTTCCTCAGAGGCATCAACATGCAGAAAGCCCAAGCATCCTTAAACCATGGGGATGGTTCTTGCTATACTAAAGGATGAAGACAAAATAGTGACAGGGTGTGTGAGAATGATGGTCAAATGAAAACACTCCCATGAAGGAAACGCCTATTACCAGGGAAAAACTCTCTCTCTCTCTCTCTCTCTCTCTCTCTCTCTCTCTCTCTCTCTTGGTGTGTGTGTGTGTGTGTGTGTGTGTGTGTGTGTGTGTGTGTGTGTTGAGCATATGCACATGAGTGCAAGTTCCACTGGAGGCTAGAAGAGGGTGCTGGACCTCCTGGAGTTGGAGTTACATGTGGTTGTGAGCCATCCAGTGTGGATGTTGGGAACTGAATTCATATCCTATGCAAAGAGCAGCCCTTGCTCTTAAATGCTGAGCCCACACATGTGTAATAGGCAGGGAGAAGAATGGGAATACACAAAGGGACCGGAGAAACTGTGCCCAGAAAAAATAGCAGGGAAATCAAGAAAATGGGTGCTAAATAAAGAAGAAAAGTTCAGGAAAGAATGGTATTCAAATTGTTGACTCTTGCCTAGAGCTCAAGAAGAATGAGGGTTGAAATGGTATTTATTTTACTGATAAGGAAAATAAAGGCCTGTTCAAAGCCAACATAGTTTCTTGTGCCTCTGGCTAGGGTGATTTATGTGTATGTTTCTTTCTCGACACAGGATATAAATCCCCCAGTTTTTACCCAACTCCACCTCACAGCATTGTGTATCATATCAAAGTGTCTAGTTCTACTCCAGTGATGTCTTGAATTACATGGCTCCATCTCCTTCAATGGAGCTATTATTTCTTGTTCTGCTTATGGTATGTAGACGGGCTTTACACATACTTCTAAAAATGCAGGTTTATAAAAAAAAAGTATTTTTCTTTGTCTACCACTGAATCAGGGAACCAGAATCTTGAGGGGGCAGATTGTAGGATTCTGCATTTTTACAGAGTTCACAAGTACAAAGCTTTGGAAAATACTAGCTTAGAGTTAAATTTGGAGACCACTAGTTTAGCCTCAAACCGAACAACAGTTGGGCCACAGGATGAAGAAACCACTCCACTCCTCCACACTCTGATATAAACTCCCATGTTGTCAAACAATGAGCAGTTATACTTCTGTTATCCAAGATCAGCTTTCCAGCAATTTTGCCTGGAAGAGGGCCAAAGCTGGAAGTTAAGAAAATGAAACATTTCTCTCAGGGAAAGGACTTCTGGTCCTTTATTGAAGAGCAAAAAGAAAAAAAAAAATAAATAAAATCTCATCTCAAGATAGCATTTGATAGCGTCACTGTCCTACTTAGTAAGAGGAAGAAAAAGATCCTCTCATTAGCTGGCTGTGGATATAAACACCAATCAATTATTGCCTGCAGCCATGGAGAAATGTAGGAAAAAAAGAAGAGGGCTTAAAAGACACCACCACCACTGGAAGACAGAAAGGGTTAAAGTGGATATATAGGCAGATGAACCCATGCCAAACGAGGGGGTCTTCACCAAAAGTAAGGAGAACACTGCAAAAAACCAGCACCAAAGTGGGGACTCTATACACTCTGCAATCCCTTTGGGACTTTGGTGTAAGGTATGAGTGATTGCATTTGATAGTCAGTGATCCGCTCAGAATTTCGTTATCCATTATTTTCTTTGAGAGCGTAATAGATACATACATCTTCAAGAGATTTCTGTCAAATGGTTAAAATTGAAAAAAAAAAAAAAAGATTGCCATCTTAAAACGCAGCGCAGTTAATAAACCGAAATACAAGTCAGACGTGGAGCCTGGTTTCACCAGTCACCAGTTTTGGAAGGACAGGTAGGACTCAGGTTCCCAAGGACGACCCTCTCCCCAAGGCTTCCGGTGAAACTGCAAAAGTAAGCAGTCCTGGCCAGCCCCCAGGCATTACCGCAGCTTGGGTCTCTCTCCCCCCCCTCCCCCGCCCCATTGCTTGGGGCTTAAGGAAATTGCTGCCGCCTTCGCTTCGGTCTCCGCTGTTGTAGAAATCAAGGTAACGGGTTCCCACTCGATTTGGGTCTGAGACCAAGAAATTAACCACTGCGTTTCGGAACGAAGTAAATCTGTTTTGTGGGTGATAGAAAATACCGGGGCTCTAAATGTTTAGGGAGTGGAGACGTCTGAGCCCAAAGCACCTGCCAGCATTCTAAGTTCTGGGGCTTTCGGAGAGGAGCTGACGCGGTCCCGGGGTGGAGGGCGGGGGCGCTTTCTAAAATGCATTTGGAATGGCGTGTGTGGCTCCGGATATGTCACTCATCAGCACAGTTCCCGGGGCACTGCCCGGCTTAGGGAGAGCGGCACCGCCGTGCCACCAGCCGTCCGCGAAGCCCGGGCGACGGGCACGCGCGGGGGCTCCGGGTCCCCGCGGCCGGGGGCGCCGTCGGCGGGGCTCGCGCAGCCGCACTGGGCGCGCCGACTCCGGGGCTCCTCCTCCTCCCGGCTCCGTAGTAATCATGGCGGCGGCGGCGTTCGCGGTCCCTCGGGTGAAACAGAAAGCGGGAGCTACGCGGAGAGGGAGCGAAGAGCGGGGCTGAGGCGGCGCCGTCACTGCCGGGAAACAACCCCCAACAGTGAGCGCGGCGGCGGTCGCGGGAGCCGGGCCCACCGTCACGGTTGTGAGAGGAACGACCCGGAGCCCCGCAGAAGACACGCCAGGGCATCCGCCTTCCTCCGCCTCGGAGCGGCGGGACTCGGAGGTGAGAGCCGGCGGGGGACGCCGCAGCCCGCGTCGGGGAAACCGTTAGGCTGGGGCTGCGGGGTCGCGGCGCCCGAGGGCTGAGCCCGTCGAGGGGCGGGCGACGCCCCCTCCTCCCTCCCCCCGCCCTGCGCGGGAGGGAGGGGGAGCGCTGTCCGTGGGGCGGCGGGTCCGGGACGCCGCGGCGACGTGCGCGGCACCTGCAGGGGCTCGGCGGCGGCCGCGGAGCTCAGCCCGCTCACCTGGGGGTTAAATCCTCGAAAACACGCCCTTCGGGTCTGCGCCCCGGCGGCGGCGGCGGCTGCCAGCGCCAGGCAGCCCGTGCCCAGGTAAGTTAACCACCTGTTCGGTCAGGAGGAGGACGGCAGGCTGCGGTCCTCGCCCGGCTTACCAGCCTGCGTGGGTGAACTTTTGACACGACTCTCTGCAAAGGGCGTCGTGCGCTCGGTGCAGGAAGGCGAGCAAATCCTTTGGACGTCAGATCGAGAGCGCTGCTGTCTTAAAAAGTGCGATAGGTAATCGTATTTATTTTCTTTTTAAACTACCACCTTAAAAAACAACCCCCCCAAACCTGGGACTCCCCCCCCCCCGTGTGTGTGTGTGTGTGTGTGTGTGTGTGTGTGTGTGTGTGTGTGTGTGTGGATTGCTGGGGGTGGTAGGGATGGTGAGCTAGAGATTTTTTTTTCTTGTGAGACTGTAAGTTCCTTCCTTTGGGCACCTTCTTGTCTGCCCATCTATTCCTGAGAAGAGCAGGCTGACAGGATTTTCCTCTTTTTATAGTTTAATCTTTATGTGTTCACGGTAGACTTAAAAAAATTGAGCCATGTATTGATTTTGCTACTTCGTATTGTGGTCCGTTTTAGTTCTTGAAACCCAAGTTTGTGTGTGTTTTTCTGTGTCATAAGAATTAAATCGCACTGCTTCTCTGCTTTTTGGCTAAGATCAGTTGTAAGAATGAAATAACAGTTGAAGTTTTTCTATAATATTTTAATCACTGTGCTTTTTACCAGCTTCAGTGCTAAACATATGCCACTCAAGATTGAGCCATATGTCAGACAGAAACAAATTGAGATTTCTGGCTCAGATCTTGTGTTTAGATAAATATTTAGGTTTTTGTATATTTGTGAAGTATGTAATTCTTGCCATCGTTTAAGTTTTGTTTAAGTCACCTAAAAATGTTCCAGAGGGATGACTCCCCTGCCTTTTTAATATTTTCTTGTTTGAACTGATTTTTCCCAACTAATGAGATAAATTACCCGTGGAGACAGGTGGTGGGCCTAATAGAAAGTAATGGTAAGGATTTTTTAAAACATGGTTTTTCTAAAATATAAATATGAGAGTTTGTTTTTAGCATTTTATCGCACTTGTAATTCTTGCTACCACTAATAACACCCTTTAAAGGGAAGGAGAGATGATGAGGTGATAGGAGAAAAAGATCTTGCTTATATTTAAAAAATTGGGCATTCTCATATTACATTTCTCTGTATTTTCTTTCTTGTCTTCATAGATCATCTCCCAGTTTTCTCTGTAGATGAAGTGGAAAATTTTTATCTCAGGCTGGTTACCTTTACCCACCTGTATGTTTCTGCCTTAACTCCTTCCTTCCTTTCCCTCTGTGTGAGTCCCTTCATCATTGAGTGATCAGAACTCTTGCTTAACACTGGCTCCAGTCCAGTGTTAAGTAATGATTGTAAGGGGAATTTTCTTCTCCCAATTTAATGTTCAGCATTCAAGAAAACAGACTTTTTGGTGTCATGTGTCATTACTTCCTCTGTGTAATTGAGAGCTTATATATTTTCCTATGCATGTAATGATTCCTTTTTGCATACTGTATTTCTATAAATTCCAGCTTATTTTTAGTATGAATTAGGAAAATTGTCTGCCTTCCATGTCTAGTGAGATGAAGGCTGAGAGATCCTATAAAACACAGGAGAAAGAAAAAAAAAAAGAGGTAATGAATGTTGCCTTTTAGTTTAGACTTATAGGTAATATTTTTGCTTGTCTTGAAAATATTTGTATTTTTTGTGTTTATGTATTTAAGGGTCTTTAATTTTGTATTTTGCTGGTGGTGTAAATATAACCAAAATCACTTTTTTTTTTTTTAAACAAAACATTCTTGGTGCATTTTTTTTTCATGAAAATGAGTTTTGATTATGTCTTAGAGCATTATATAAGACTGTGCATATGATTTCCAAATTTAATAGTCTGGCGATGATAAGTGATGGATGGTTACTTGTTGTTTTAAATGTAATCTTTGGAACAAAAACTACTACTTAAGTTCTGCATGCTTTAAAACAGTCAGATATAGAATTCTGTTCATGTCTAGCCCATTGAATCCTGTAGTACTTTAATTGATCACCTTGGTACAACAAATATGTATCAATGTCAGAAGCTCATTATCACAAAGAAATTGATTACCAAGTTTTATTCTTTTACATGTACTGTGTTTATCATTTTTAATAGTTTAGTCTTTTTTTTTTTCAGAGTATTATTCAGTGAATTCTTTTTATGCCTCAGTCTTTAACCTTTTCTCCTACTGTTTGGGTTTTGTTTGTCTTTAATATATACTGTTTAATGTGCAGCCTCTAGACTTCCATTAAGTTCTTTGTGGGTTTCATGTCTGACTTTCCCAGTCCTCTATTAACCATTTCCAGGCCTTAGGCTACTTTTTTGCACAAGATAGTATACTTAGGAGGAGATAGCATGGACTCACTGGGAAGGTGATGAGCTATCGTCAAAGCAAGGGATGTAAAAGCAGCCAGATATGCTTGCTCCTTCAAGCCATTTACAGATTATTTGAGAATTGTACACTAAACAAGGAGACCATTAGCAAACACTATAAGACAATATTGTTGAAATGTGTGACATCCACTGTGACTGAAAGCTCTGCGAGGGAGGGCTAGCCAGCATGCTCTCCGCATTTGGAGGAAGTCCAACTTGAAATTTAGGAAGTGTATGTATCCAAAAGAGAGTGACAGACAGACAGGTGGAGCTAGCAGCAGGAGAGACCTGTGGGAGCACCCAAGGACAGGCATTAAGACAAAGAGAATCAGGTAAGGATTGCAGCTAGGCCTCACTAGGTACGAACAGTAGGAAGCCCTGGAGAAGAAAGTCCTGCTCACCAGTAGGAACCTGTCTCTGAAAGAAATAAACACCCATCATTTTGTTTTGTTTTAGCATACAAAATAATAGATTTTGATATGATATTCTCGTCCTTGAGTATCACTGTACTGGGCTCATTTTCTTCTCCCCTACCATCGTTGGACCCTCTTTCCTGCTTTTTGCGGGTCCCATTTCTCCCCAAAATGCCTCTTCTGCTTTCATTTTGCCTCAGTGTGTGTGTGTATGTGTGTGTGTATGTGTGTGTGTGTGTGATTTCTGTATATGAGAGAAAATTGTCTCCCCATTACCTTCTCTTGTTCCCATCTCCCTCTCCCTTAGAACCCCTTAGTTTTACTTCTTCTTTTATGCCATACACAGATAGACAAAAAATATGTAGAAATTCTGTATATGATGCCCGGTGAGGGTGAAGCATGCCTTTAATCCCAGCACTCGGAAGGCAGAGGCAGGCAGATCTTGTGAGTTCGGGGTTAGTCTGGTCTACAGAGCAAGTTCCAGGACAGGCTCCAAAGCAATACAGAGAATTCCTGTCTTGATAAACAAAACAAACAAACAAAAAATTCTGTGTATGAGAGAAAATATGATGTTTGTCTTTCTTACTCTGTTTTGTTTCACTTAGCATTTTGGTTTCTAGCTTAAGATTTCTTAGTAGGTAGATTCTGTGTGTTTATATAACTTAGATAAGGGTAGACAGCTATTTTATATAGTGCTCAATAATACTATCTTGCAAGCTATTTATAGTCTTTGTTGAATATTATTGTTTGTTTGCTTGTTTAAAAGAATCTTTTTAAAATGTAAAAACCATGTCTGCAGGCTGGAGTTAGCCATCTGGCCTAGTTCACAGAGTCCTGGCTAGCTGACTGTCCCATCCATATAGCACATATTGTGAAGTATTTCCTAATGGTTGTCTGAAGTGTTGTACATATTTTTTATGGTATATGAAAATAAAGAAAATATGCTAAAATAACTACTACTATACTTAATAATTTTTGCCTAAAGTTCTAGGAAGACCTTAATCTGGGTCTCTGAACCAGAAAGTAAAAGAAGTCTTTGAGCTGGGCCTTATTGCACTGAAGCACCTACCCAGTGATCGGCTTTACAATTTGTGAGGTTTAGTGTAACAACTCTGTGCTGTGTTTACAGTTCTTAAGAAGTACAGTTGGCATTTAGAAACCTTGGCTAGGGTGCTGATGGTCTGTAAGTGATGGAGGGGAACAATAACCTGTCTTTTAAAGGTGGCCTAAGGTGAGTTCTCAACATTTAGAAACCCTGCAGTAACTCCGAGAAGAGTCACTGTTATGGAATAATTGGTAATAGATGGATAACCTACAGTTATCTAGAAAAATGTCATACCATGTAGATTAGAGAAGGGAAAAAAATCTCTAAAAAATATTTATAGTAAAATGATTTTAAAGCTGGGTGTGGTGGCACATGCCTTTAATCCCAGCACTCAGGAGGCAGAGGCAGGTGGGTGGTTCTCTGTGATTTGAGGCCAGCCTGGGCTACAAAGTGAGTTCCAGTTCAGCCAGGGTTACACAGAGAAACCCTATCTCCAAAAGACAAAAACAAAACAAAAAAACCAAGATTTTTAAGGTGATTATGCTAATTTTAAAAGATAAATGCTGGTTGCTTTAAAACTTAACATATATTAAAAATTTCCTTGCCATTCCTAAATCGTCTAAGTTGTCTAAGACAACACTTTCTCTTTTCCCACTGTGCTGTATCATCACCAGGTGACCCACCGTGCCTGAGGGTAGTTTTGTGGATCAATTGGTGAGGGTTACTACATCGCTTGTGCTATCAAGAGATTAAAATAGAGCATAAGGACATTTTTTTTTTTCACTTTGTAGGCATTTTGGACTTTGTATGTGGTCAGTATTA